TGCAAGTGTTCAATATCAAAGTGATTTTGACAAACTGTTCGAAAGCTCCAAGTAGAATAGAATGCAGTGTTCTCTCAGCAAGGGAATGTAAGAAAAAATTGGTAACCTAGTTCACAGTAATTGCCCAGTAAGTGGCCCCCTAGTGAAAACCCTGCTGTTGACCCAAAGAACCACACAGCACTGGGAACAAAGACATTGATTTCAAAGAGAAGCACGTGTTACAGAGCATCTCAAAGTGATTTGTGATTGGGGATGCCCATGAGAACACTCACAAACAGACTGAACCTAAGAATATTTCTAAGCACTAGTTCTCAATATTAAATTCAGTGGATCCTAGGTGCCTACTGATAAAAATCACTGTTAGTCAGCTTTGTTTTGCTGTGAAAAAAAAATACCTGATAAGAACAACCTAGAGGAAGAAAAGTTTATTTTGGATCATGGATTCAGAGATTCAGTCTGTGGTGGGCCAAGTCCATTGCTCTAGTCCTTAGGTAAGGCAGAACATCACGTCATAGCAAAAGACTGTGCCAAAGGAGAGCCACTGATCTTCTGGTGGCCTGGAAGCAAAGAGAGAGAAGGGGAAGGGGCTGCAGGAAAGGTTAAGTCCTCCAGGGCATGCTGCCAGTGGACACTCCACCAGCCTAGGTTACAGCCCAGTTACTCCATGCAATCATTTCATCTGTGGACATTTCTGCATTAAGACAGGCGTTTTGGGGGGACACCTCATATCCAAACCATAATAGTCACAGAGACCTTTTTTTCAAGTAAGTAAAAACAGTGAAATCAATTATTAAGATTTTTCTCTTGATTTTACATTTTGCTTCCATATATGGATATATGAATATGTAAATATATGTTTAACTACTACTATTTGCTTGGACTAGAGATTTACATATGATGGTATATAATTTATTGTGAAATTATGTATATACAGTTATTTGGGGATATAAATATTTCATGAATTCTGTCTTCAAATCCTTGAAAATTCTGAGGATTGCTGCTATAAAAATATAATCTTGTTACTCTAAAAATTTCTCAGTAGGTCAAAAAGGCTAACATGTATGTGCCTATGGTTAACAAGGAACCTGCTTTCTAAGGTTTCCCAAAAGACAGGATTAATCTAAACCCAACATTTACTGTTACATGAACAATGGTGGGCACAGAGATGGATCTCACCTTTGCTTTTCTGGTGCTTAGGGCAGGGTCAGGAACAGAGCAGAGCCTCAACCCTTATTTGCATTTTATACCAGATCTGTATGTATAAAAATAAAGACTTCAAAAGTGCTTGAATACTTGAAATGGCTTAAAAACCCAATCTCTTCAATCCATTTGCAGTTTACTTTTTTTTTTTAATGAGTTTACTGTGGATGGGTGTAGTGGAGGGAGGGGTGTGGGAGTAGGAGATGGGAGGGAGGCTAGAGGGAAGTGCTGGGGATTGAAGTGGAGCAGGTTGAGTCCCACACCTTTGTGATTATGTCAGGTTGTATCCTGCGGTCGTATGTAACTAAAAAAAAATTAATTAATTAAAAATAAAATCTTAGGGGAGCACTATTATAAAAAAGAAAAAGCCCATCTCAGTTTTCTCTTCATGTTTTTCTGTTTTCAAAGAATCGTGCCTCGTTTTCTGACTTGGTGCCACCTAACTTCCAGGACCCCTCACTGTTGGGTAACTCAAGTTTGCAGTGAAGGCTGCTTCTGCCTATGCTTTCATACAAATGAGCGTTACATCACTGTACTGCTGTACAGTTTATGCAAAGCTCTGTGTTGGGCAGGATGAGGCTACAGGCATTAGTGGGGTATCATTGCTGTTCCTAGGGAGTTAATCTGGTGGGAGAGAGGGATACACAGACAACTAATTGTATTACAAGGCAGAAAGAAAAAGTGCTGTGGTTAAAGGATTAAAAAAATGCTGTGGTTGCAGAGAGGAAGGAGTAATTAATTCTCACTGGGAAGATTAGGAACAAGGAAGCAAAGAAACTAATATTTATTAAGGGTTCATGAGGTGCCCCAGGTGGGCTGGCGCTTCACGCTGGGCTCTGGGAGGAGGTTGCCTTTCAATTGCAGATTTTGGTTACTGGGACCCTGTGGGGAAGGCCTGGGTTCAAGAGGCAAGAAGACTGTGGGAAGATAGTCTTCTTCCAGCCCAGAGAGAGAAAGAAACTAAGGCAAGAAGAAACTCAACTTACCGTGATGGGAAATGGGTTAGAAAGAGGAAACAGGTGTCAGTTCAAAGGAGGAGATAGAGAATTCTAGGCAAAGGTAAAGAATTTTAGTAAGAAGAAACTACGACATGGATGGAAAGGGGAGACCTGTATTGATGTTAGTAGGGATCAATTATGCGAGCAGAAGGCAGGGATTTGGGGATGGAGTGGGGAGTTGGCAGAAGGACCCAGACCTGGTGTGAGCTCAGTGGGAGAATTATTCAGTTCCTTGGTTTCAAAGAAAACAAAGGCCAGTGGATGAACCAGCTAACTTGGCACATTTGGGTGCTTGGTGCTAACAGATCTAACAAACATTGGCCTGTCCCTACAGGAGAAGGGAGCAAGTGTCAACTTGTTCCCTCTGTCCTGAGACTAAACTATCAACATTTGACAGCCCAGACTGCTTCAGCCCTGTGACATCCCCTGTAGAGCCTAGTAGTGGACTGGTCATGGGGCAGCCTTTCACCAAGTCCTAATTGATTCCCAGTGAGCAAGGACGTGAATTTCTGCGGTCATGTTATGGATTTTAGAGTGTTGCAGAAATTTAACCTGAAAATTCGCCACACAGATACAGACAAAGGTTAGAGCATTGAAGAGTTTACCATCAAGAATTATTTCTAATGCCATAATTTTACAGAAAGAAAACTGTGTCAATTGATTAACTTCTACTGTAATTTGTTAGCTGCTCATTATACTTTCCTGTCTTGACTAATGAAAACGTTTAGAGCTGCATCTTTATGGAAGCTAACTAGGCCAGGCAGCTTGCCGGTCTTAGAATAATTAGAAAATTTTGCCTTATCAGCCAGTGGGATACCTGCCTCTCCTGGTGAAGCTTCATAGAATGTTTTTTTTTTTCTTTCTTTCTATTTCCTCTTCTTTCCCTCATTAGTATCTGTTACTGAACTACTAAGCCCAATTCTGCACAATCTCACTATAAAAATATATTATAAACATTTATGAGGCTGATCCAGCTGAATTAAACTCTTATTTATTTACTCACTAGGTTGGTAGAAAGAAAAATTTTGTTACCATGTGAGATAACTTAGGGGAATTTATATTAGTAGGTCTTAAAAATGTTTTCCTAACTTCCATGAATGTTAAGCCAGGAAAGGCAAATTTGTGGTAAATCTGTTCCTCCACCATCTTTCTGTGTCCATGATACATGTCTATCATCTGTAATACTGTCCTTTCCTCTTAGACTATCGATGACTTCAGAATCCTTCTCAACACAGCATTATAAAGAGCAAGAGGTTGGAACTGGCCTGGAGGATGAATTAAGCAGGTAATTGCTCCTACCAGACTATAATCTCCTTAAGAGAAGAAACCAACTCAATGGCTTGCTTTTTTTTGTTGGTTTTTTTTTGTTGTTGTTGTTGTTTTCCGGGGTTGGGGGCAGTGTACCAGGGTTTGAACTCAGGGGCACTGGACCACTAAGCCACATCCTGAGCCCTATTTTGTATTGTATTTAGAGACAGAGTCTCACTGAGTTGCTTAGTTCCTCAGTTTTGCTGAAGCTGGCTTTGAATTTGCAATCCTCCTGTCTCAACCTCCCAATCCTTTGGGATTATAGGCGTGTGCCATAGCTCCTGACTCGATGGTTCTTAATGAATGATTGAACAAACAATGGGAAACTATATGAATGTGTTAATGGATGCAGAGTGAATTTTACTTTTTCATTCAACAGAAATGCTTGCAGGAAGGCTTCATCTCCTTCCTAGGAAATGCACTGTGTATGTCCATATACCTAGTGGACACCAGCTCATAGACCCTTAGCTGGAAGTAACCCAAGAGAGTATCCATGGCCAACTTTTCAATTTACAAAGATGAAAAGAGGGTGCAAAAAGGACATTCAGCTGTCATGCAGGCTCTCAAGCTTGTGAGGCATTCTGCTGCATTCCACATCTGACTAATGTTCCTGTGTGGCCTCCGTCATTTTCTTTGCCATTTCATCCATAAAATGGGGGAGAATGATTATATCTGCCTTGTATAGGTTTGTAAATTTTAAACAAGATAAGGAGTACAAAGTGAATAGTATAGTGGCTGGATCTTGGTAAGTATTCAAAAAAAGTTAGTTTTTCTCTTTTTTTCATCTTCTTTTTTTCTTTCTTTCTTTCTTTTTTTTTTATTTCTGCAGTACTTGGGATTGAATCTAGTGGTGCTCTGCCACTGAGTTACATCCCCAGCCCTTTTCATTTTTTATTTTGAGACAGGGTCTCACTAAGTTGCTGAGGCTGATCTTGAATTTATAATCCTCCTGCCTCAGCCTTCTGAGTCGAATAACTGGGATTGCAGGGGTGCATCCCTGTGCCCAGTTCCTTTGTATTTGTATTAGCTGAACCAGTGATTTATCATGTTACATTATACTTCATTTTTTTTTCCAACTCATTTTCAATGAGTTGAAAGCTTTTTTTTGAGTCATCCTTGTTATATATAAATCAAAAAGACAAAGAGGATATAAGGAATAAATTTGTAATAGATGAGAAGAAAATACTTTCTGTGTGAAAAACATAAAATTCCAGAATCTCATGCCATGCTTCCTTCCTGGCCTAATCACATTGTTTCCAGATATGCTTCCTAGAAAATAGGTTTGTAAAAATTGTCTTCATATCATACAGGATGCAGTTTTATACAAATATGAGTTTGCTGACCTGTTCCTTTAAAAAATAACTCAGCACGCAGATTGTGCATTCAAACCTTCAGTTCACTCATTAGTTGGGGAGGAAAAGTTTGGGCTGGTTTGATGCTGGTTGCCAGGAAACATACAAAGGCCTCAGAAACAGATGAAACAAAACAACTCCACATTGCTGGGAAGGTGGCCTTCAGGGGCAGGCACTTCACCAGTGGGGGAACTTTGCAGCTTCGTCCTCTAATGTCCCCAGACAAGAAAATGAAGTCGAAAACCACAACTTATTAATGTAAGCAAGGTTAGCCACAGAGATCTTGAGGAGTTACTTTTCTAATGCATTTAAATGAGGATCTGAAGGTGTTTCAGTGTCAGTGGCTGTAATTATGGGAAGCTTTACACATTTTTAATCAAACAGTACAAAGAAGGGGACTATGGGTTTTAAAATAAACTATGGAACTAAGCGTGGGAGGGGATCGAGGATTTTCATTTCCTACCTTGGCTTAGACATTTTGCCTTCTAATGATATGCCTTGAAAGGGTGGTGCTTTTTTATGGGGGGCGGGTGGGGACCAGGGATTGAACTCAGGGCCATTTGACCACTGAGTCACATCCACAGCCCTATTTTATATTTTATTTAGAGACAGGGTCTCACTGAGTTGCTTAGTGCCTCACTTTTGCTGAGGCTGGCTTTGAACTCACGATCCTCCTGCCTCAGGCTCCCAAGCCACTGGGATCACAGGTGTGTGCCACCATGCCCAGCTCTTTTGTAAAATTTTTTTTGTTTGTTTTGGTACTGGGGATCGAACCCAAGGACTTGTGTATGTGAGACAAACAATTTACCAACTGAGCTATATCCCCAGCCCTCTTTTTGGAATGCTATTCTAAATTGAGTTTCTTTTCAAAGGCACCTGTTGAAATCGGGAAAAAAAGCCTCAGAAAGAATTGAAGGCCCCCAAAGAGGTGAAGCTATGATGAGTTACCAAAATGCTGCACTTGATTTAAGCACTGGCTCCCAGCCTGAGCCAAAGAGCCCAGAGAGGACAGAAAATGTGACTGTAGATAGAGACTATGGCACAGGCCTGCTTGAAAACCAGCTCAGCGTGGATGACTTTGTGAAGATACAGAGGGCCTTCGAGGTAAGAGTCATGCTTGTAGACCAGAGAGTTTGAGTTGTTCACAAAGGACACTAGGATGAATCAGAAAGAGGCTTCTTTTAAAAAAGTATTTTTAATATATTTAATGATTACAGCAGGGAATTGAAAATAATGAGACCCAGCTTTAACATCATGTACTTGTTAACTTTATCCCTCAGTTCTTTGGGATGAATAATAATACTTAGTTTGAAATTGCTGCACATGAATTTTGTCAAGGAAGGACAATTTATTCTTGGACAACATTTGTTTTTGAAATCAACATATTTTGGGGAAACCAAAAATTTGGTTATAAATGAGAAAAGCCAGATTACTGAGATAACCCTCAGTAACTGTTCTTGTATTTGGTATATACATAAAACTAAATAAATACAAATTTGAACATCCGGTTTACAAAAACTCTCTCCTGCCTCACCTGGATTGGCACAACTCTTTTTCAAAACTGATTTTGGCATTTTGTTGTCCCCAAGATCCCATATGAGGGTCCTGCCTTTCATGCTTCTTGTAAATCCTGGAGCAATGCCCATAAAATAAAATTAGAAGTTTTCATTTTAATTCCACATAGAAAATAAACCATAGGAACTTAACTACAAGTGAATAATTTCCTTTTCCCTATCTTAGTTAATTAATTTGAAATTCTGCAGCTATGCATAATGAACAGCATATATCAAAGTGGTTTTAGTTTCAAATGTGGGTAGGAAGAAATGCCCTCTGTGCTGTGTAATTTAGGTAGACCTGAGCCTCCATCCTTTCTGTTTCATTATATTCACTAAAATATGATCTTAGGGCTTCATAAAGTCCCCAAAGGGGTGCTTGGAATATCCATATTAGTTTGAAATAGACATATAATATTTTGCAATACAACCTTGAAATTTATAAAACATGAAATGTAACAATTATATTAACCTGTAACTGGTAGTTTAGTCTTTAAACTATCAAAAAAAAAAAAAAAAAAGAAAAAAAGAAAAAGAAAAGAAAGAAAGATAACAAGAGCCAAAAAGAGTTGCTAACCATTAAAATTCTGCTATACCCCATTTTTGTATATAACAACTTAGATTCTTCGTTAATAAATTGATGTCCCAATAATATAGATCACTTCTTTATAATAGAATCTATCATATTTAGGAGCAAAGATATCCTCCGTCTTATACTTTTCCTCATTTTAACCTTTATGTATTTGCTATTTTTCTAACTGCATTTTGTCTGAAAGATTTCAGTGCTACTCCATACTCAATGCCTTCAAATGAATTTGGCATATTTTGATAGACATAGCCAGCATTTTGACAGCTTGAGGACAATCAGAAAAATGTAACAATGGATTAGGATGACTTTAACTTCAGAAAGATATATGGCAGTTTTGTTCTGCTGTTAAGAACACAAAGAATTTGAATGTTAGAGTCTTTTAGGAGAGTTAACATCATAACGTTGATGTGTTATTGGAACTACCGCAGAGGGTTGGGAGTGGGTGTCTTTTCAAACTACAGATTCAACCTATCAAAGTTGGACCACTAATTTTGAAATTACCAGTTGGAAAAGCAGATGCTGATGGACTCAAAGGAAGAAAAGGATGCAGTTCAGAGCTTCTGTGAACAAAGAGTCTATGACAATTTTTTTTTTCCCCAACCGAGCTTTGCAGGTGTACTTTCAAGAAACAATGAAGCTCATCCATTTTTAAACCATTCAACAGAGATAGACAGGAACAATCCAGTGACAAGTGTATAGCCAATACTAAGAGTGAGACCCTTGAGTAAATGTGAATTCCAAACACAGCATGGACACCTCGAGAAAATGATATGCTGGATGATTCCCATGAAATGCAGCCATCTGTCACAAGTTCGAGGTCCACAGGCCACAGGGGAAAACTGCGGCGAAGGAAAGCATGTCCTCAGCAGCTGAAGCTCCAGAGACAGTGGTTTGTGCTCCAAGAGTTAAAGACACACTCTTAGAAATCCCATGATTCTGGCACCAGATTCCTTTATCTCTTATTTTGTTTTGTTTGTTTTGCTTTTACACAACTTGCTTATTTGGGACTGAAGTGTTGTCAGATGTTAGCTGAAGTCCATCTCCTTAAATAGCAGGGGCAAGGATTAATGAAAGACAGGAAGTTTGGTCTTTGAATTGTACAGTGAATGTTTTCCATATATCTCTAAATAAAATGTCCCATGCCAAATTAGTCCTATTATTAACATTTAGGAATAAAACAAATTATTATGTTCACTGTATAATGGTACAAATGAGTCAGAATCACAGCTTTGCTTACAATGTGACCTTGTGCACATCAACATGTCTGGATCTGTTTCCTTTATTTCTAACTGGGAATAACAGTTTGTGTGTGTGTGTGTGTGTGTGTGAGGATTAAGTGAGATAATATTTGGAAAGCTCTTGAAAGAGTGCTTGCCACACAGGGGAAGTTCTCAATTAACATTAGGTGTTATATATTTAGCCAGTAGAAGTTGAACTCCATGGCCTCTAACATTATCTTTTTTTAAAAAAATATATTTTTTAGTTATAGATGGACACAATACCTTTATTTTATTTATTTTCATGTGGTGCTAAGGACCGAACCCAGTGTCTCATACTTGGGAGGCAAGTGCTCTGCCACTGAGCTACAATCCCAGCCCACTAACATTATCTTGATTCAAATTTATTTATTTCCTAAAGAAAATTAAGCTTCCAATGATACTTGCTACTGTTTTTTTTTTTTTTTTGTTGTTGTTGTTGTTATTTTGTGTGTGTGTGTGTGGTAGGAAATGGTTAGCAATAAGTGTTGAAAAGGCAAATAGTTACATAGACATGGAAAAAAAAACCCACATCATTTTCCATCTCCCATTTCTTATTTTATTAGTGGGCAAAAGATTCTAATTAATGTCTTGGTTCTGTTCTTTGGAACAAAGAAGTTACATGGAGAGAAGGATGAGAAAAGTAACTTGTGGACTTAATTTTCTTTCAAGTGGTGGTGTCAAAAGGCCATATATCATCCTGAAGGGAGTGAAACTTGTATTATTCATAGAATTATAAAATGGTTGTTACCCAAACTTTCTTGTAGAACTTGCAAGGCTTAGAGAAATGACATGGTCTCTGGATGTTCATATTATTTTTGATGTCAACAATATTTCACATTTTCTTAGAAACTTCAAACGCCAGCTATTGTATGAAACAGACTGAGTGTGGTTGATGATTTTATAGGAATGGTGAGAAGTAAAAATTATGGCGTAAGGGAAATGAGATTTTTGGAAGGCCACACTGGGGCTGTGTGTGTGTGTGTGTATGTATATATATATATATATATATATATATATATACATATATATATATATATATATATATATATATATATACATACACATATGTAATGTTTCTTCTGGGCATCTGGTTATGTAGTCATCCAAAGTTTCCTTACTTTTATTTTCTGTTGTTGACTTCAGTGCCAGGATGTTCTGCCTGTGATCCTGGATTCTCTGTTGCTTGTTTAATCTGGGAGCATAGTTTGCTTTTCACTACTGGTTTCTTCCTGGCGTATTTGTTCTGGCCAGGCTATAGGTGCAGAGGCAGGGACTGGCCCCGCATTATCTACTGTATGCTACCACTTCCCCAAGCCCACTTTCTGTAGAAAGAAAAACTCCTAAGCCTCATGGAACACAGGAGGTATTCATGCTCAAAGTAGAAAGGCTCAGAATAGTTCAGTGTGAGAACAACATGGCTACAATCCTAGCAGGAAGTCCCTAGAGACCATCCAGTGAGAATTCTTGGAACAAACATGTCTTTGGAGTAGATGGAATCTAAACATAATGTTCTGGTGATACTTTAATCTCTAAAGACCAGAAAAGTTCAGGAGACAAAATTGGCAAGTGTTTGAAAAGTAATAAAATAGTTACATTTATAGATTTTATGGTACCTTCATTCTTGATTATCTTTATAAAATTCCCACCATTCCTGTAGACAGATCCTATAGCAGGGCCTGTGAACTGTATTCTTTGCTGTAACAAGAAAAGATGAGGATTCTGGTACCCTGCCAGGCAAGCTAAGCTTGAAGGGAATATGGAAGGTCAGATTTGCCTCTTTTTTTTTTACCTTCCCATGATTTGTCCGTCTTTCTAAACTGTCAAGCTTCCTTTCAATTTATTAAGGGCCCAGAAGTCTCTAGGGCTTCTCTTTGCCCACTGTATGTTCACTAGTAAGGTACCCAAAAGAAAAGGACCTACGGGGTGTGCCTCATGTTGTGACTATTCTCATCGTTTGCTTCTTTTCTTGCCACCCCAGACACCACAATCTCAAACATGTAAATAAAATTTCTCAATTGGTTTTAGTCCCTCCTCTCAAAACATTTAGATTTTGTTGTCTCTGATAAAATGTGAGATAGTCCATGAAGATCATTTAAAAATTTTTCTTAGATAAGACTGATAGTTAAAATATAAAATTAAGACAGTGTTATTCAAAAAGGTTTCAAATTAGAAAATCTTTGGTCTTTTTTAGGTTTGCAGATTCTACTTAATACTATCGTGCATCACCTAGTTCCAGTACTTATTCTGAGAAATGCGCTGTTAGGCAATTTAATTATTGTGTGAACATCATGGTGTATACTTACACAGACCAAGATGGCAACAACATCATTGAGCGGTATAAGCTCATGAGACCACCTTCATATATGTGGTCCATTCTTGACCAAAATGTCATTATGTTGTACACAGATGTTACTATGGTTTCAATATGAATATGTTCCCCCAAATGTCTGTGTGTTATAACAAAGACTTGGAACCCAGAGGGGTGATAAGAGGAGATACTGTTAACCTTTAAGAAGTAGTGCTTAGTAGGAGGTCCTTAGGTCATTGAGGGTACATTCAAAGGGGACTGTGGGACCCCCATCTTTCAGTCTCACTTTTTCCTATCTCTGTGTGAGTAGTTTGCTTGGCTGCACATTTTCATCATAATATGCTGCCATCACCAGAGGCCCAAACCAATGGAGCCATCCAATCATGGACCAGAAC